CGTGGGGCGCCCAGCCTGGCCCCCTGCGCGCCTGCTTCCCGCTCGCGCTGTTGCGCCAGCTGCCGGCGTTGGGACCCAGGGCAAGTGAATCCAAGCCTCGCTTTGCGGGCTTGAGCTACCCGAGAAGTTAAAAGCTTTTGCAGGAAGCGTTTGCGTTTGCAGGAGGCACGCATCAGGCCCTTTGCTGGTCCTTGAAGGAGTGAAGACTTTGGGGATCCTCGGTGCTGCGGAGGGTGGGTGCCACGCGTTCTGTCGGCGAAGAGGAGGGTGCAGTGGACTCTCCCCGCGGCCCTTTGTGTTCTTTAGGCGTCTGGGCCGCTCCTGCCTCCCAGGCGCTCTGGGCTCCCTTGACACCACCTTCTCCCTTACCTTTGCCAGCCCCTCTTCCTCTGCGCCCCGCCCCCCCTTAAATGTCGTTATTCCCTAAGGTTCTGTCTGAGACTCTCTGTTCGGCGCTTAATTATCATCCATGTATTCCAAAACTTATGTCGCTGGTGCCGGCCTCATCAGCCCTCAGCCTCATGTATCCACCTGCCCACCCAACCTCTCCACTTGGATATCTCAGGGCATCCGTTCAAACCAGCATGCCTCCATCTGCATCACCCCCTTCAGTTGCTTTGTCTCAGGGATTAGTGCCAACACCCTGCAGTTACCAAGCTGGAATACTTCTTCAAAAAGTTTCCTGACAATTGCCAGGCCAGGTTAGAAAACTTCCATTACCCTATTACCTGTTCCTAGAGGCCTGGTGCAGGACATTCATGCACTCAGGGGTTGGGGGGTCCTTCAGCGTGGCCTGCGCCCTCTGGCAGTCCAGGAGCCCTGGGCGGGGACAGGAGCCCTGGGCCCAGATGTCCAACTGCTGGGGTGGGCGGGGGGAGGCTCTGGGCATCTGGCTGAACAGCTCTTCCCCTGTGGGAGCGCACTGACCACTAGGGGGTAGCTCCTGCGTTGAACGTCTGCCCCCTAGTGGTCATTGCACATCTTGCGACCTGTCCTTCTGCCATTTGGTCAATTTGCATATTAGCCTTTTATTATATAGGAGTAGAGGCCCGGTGCACAAAATTTGTGCACTCGGGGGAAAGGGGGGGGTCCCTCAGCCTGGCCTGTGCCTCTCGCAGTCTGGGACCCCTCGGGAGATAACGCCCTGCTGGCTTAGGCCTGCTCCCGGGTGGCAGAGGGCAGGCCCAATTCCTAGGTACAGCCCCTCGGGCTCAGAGTAGGGCCGATTGGGGAGTTGGGGCTCAGCCCCCTGTCATGCACAGAGCAGTGCGGATCAGGAGGTTGTGATGCCACCCTCAGTCACGCTCAGGGTAGGGCAAATTGGGAGGTTGGGGCACCGCCCCCTGTCACGCACAGAGCAGGGTCGATGGGGAGGTTGCGGGGCCACCCCCTGTCATGCACAGAGCATGGCCCATCAGGGGGTTGGGGAGCTCCCCCGTCACTCACAGAGTAGGGCCGATAGGGGAGTTGGGGCACCGCCCCCTGTCACCCACAGAGCAGGGCCGATCAGGGGGTAGGGGCACCGCCACTGTCACACTCAGGGCAGGGCCAATGGGGAGGTTATGGCTCTACCCTGTCACACACAGAGCAGGGCCCGTGGGGGGGGGGGGCATTGGGGCGCCGCACCCTGTCACACACAGAGCAAGGCCGATCAGGGGGTTGGGGCGCCGCACCCTGTCACACACAGAGCCGCAGGGCGATCAGGGGGTTGGGGAGCTCCCCCGTATCAGGCACAGAGCAGGGCTGATCAGGAGGTTGGGGCGCCTTCCCTTCCCCTGCCATGAACAGAGTAGGGTGGATAGGGAGGTTGTGGCCCCGCCCCCTGCCAGACACAGAGCCGCAGGGCGATAAGGGGGTGT